TCAACCTATGTTTTTATATTTAATTGTGTCTGTAATCATCATATAGTCATATTTTTAACCTGCCTTTTAGCTATCTAGTTCATTAATATTTATTGTGACTGCTGATATATTTGGGTTTATTTCCACTCTGGTATTCGGGGCCTTCCCATAACTCTGCTTCTGGGGCTGCTTCTCCCCACTCCACTTCCTTCCTGGCACTTTTGGAAGAGACTTTTTAACTTCATATTTTCTTCTGTACTGATTTGAAAGCAATAGACTCTCTTTTCTTTACATTAAAATTTTCACATTTGCGTTTAACACAGTTGAAAATAAATCAACATCTCTACCTTCCTCCAAAACAGTACAAGGAACTAGAATATTTGAACTCCCATTATGCCTTGTGGTCTTACATAAGAAATGGCCAGTACTTTCTTTCCACTATGCTTTTTGTTAGCACCCCCTACCCCAAATTAGACGTTAATATCATCACCCTACAGCCAATGTTCATTTGGATATGCCCACATAGCTACCTATTTATTTGTTGGCCATTCTATTTCGGATTTTAGATCTTCCTTCTCCCTGAAATACATAAATCAGTGAATGTGAGTTGATGGTGAATTCAGTTTTTATCTCAAAATATTGACAGTTATTTTCTCTTAGCACTCTAAAGAGATACTCCACTGTCTATTGGCTTCTGATTGTACTGTTGAGAAGTCTGCTGTCAACCTAATTGAGTTTTTCTCTTTTTTGTGGGTAATCTGTCTTCATTTTTAGGATTGCCTTTGTCTTTATCTGCAGCTTCACTGCAGATATAGATATATTTTTACTTATCCTGCTTAAAATTTGTTGTGCTTCCTGAATCTAAGCATTCAAATGCTTTCTCAATTCTGGAAAGTTCTCGGTCACTATCTCTTTATATATTACCTCTCCTGTACCTCTCTTCTTAATAGTCACACTAAGAGGATAAATAAATACTTGAATAGCTTCCTGCCAGTTCAGATCAAGTCTTTCCACCAAATAAGTTGCAAAAAAAAAAAACCTTTCAGGCTTCAAGTTTCATACCTTATTTTGTAATTTTGCATAGTAAGCTCTTGCATGGTTTGGTGTAATCTCAGGGAATCCGTGAGGCCTGAGTGGTGGGTACATTCCTTCAGTAAGGAATTGCTTTTTCTTCCCCCCCGTGTCCTGGAGTGTGGCCCACCTCAGACACTGTAAGGAAATATTCTTCATCTTGGGGTTTCCCAGACCACACTTGTAGTGGAAAGTCAAATCATAAATCTATGGAAGATGAGACCTGTAGTGACAAAATCACAGAAGATGATATTTTCCTATCTACCCTCAGCCAAGGATGACTAGTTTCCTTGTCATCTCCCTTTGCAGGCAGGCTGATTTTTTCCCTCTACCCTTTCAATGAAGATATAGCCCTTTACAGATCCTGGCTTTGTACAGAGATTTCACTTCCAATTCAGGACCACCTTGAACGGGTCCATGTACTTGTCTCCATCACAGGGTGCTCATTACTACACCATCTTGTGGTCAAGAAGGTGCGTGAATGCTCCCAGCACAGCGGTGGCACCACCTTTGTGTTATCACTCTGGTCTCCAGCTCCCTCTCTGTTTAGAGAGCCCAGGATTTCCTTATTTTCTTAGGATAACCAAAGCATTTAAATGGGTGTACATATATATGTTTTTAAGCATGTCTAGGTGTGTTGTTGAGGGAGGTTGTACAGGGATATAAACACCTCAGCTCCCTCTTGGGAGTCTGGCTGGGATAATTCTGAGGTGTGAGATGTTCTCTCCCGTTTCTGTTTCCCAGTTTCCTCCAGGATTGAGCTTCAGTATCTCACTGGGGAGCTGGTTTAAGAATGCACCCCCTACTGGCCACCTTCTCTTTCCAGCTGCACCTCCTAAGCCCCCTGCAGACACCCTGTGCCCAACAAAGACCTAGGGCCCTAATCCTTATTTCAGGGCCTGTCTGCGTTTTTCGGTATTGCCCACCTAATACCACATGATTCTAGGAACTAGAATATGCGTCTAGGTGCTTCTAGAGGAAGCTTTTAAAATATCCTGTTAGTCCCTGTCTAGTGAACTCTACTTTTTCTTTCGGCAAACAATACTATCCTGGGAAAAATGCATATACTCTAACATTACCAAGGAAAAAAAGCCAGTATATAAACTTGTACTATGTGAAAATGCATAGGAACGTCTTAAAGAAAATATTTCAAAAGTTTAACAGTTCCCTATGAGGTGGGATTACGGATGCCTTCCCCAACTTCTTTATACTTTCTGAAGTTTCTATGATGAACATGTATCACTTTAATAAACAGTGAAAGAAAAATTGCAAAATTAAAAATCATAACAACATTTTATTAAATTGGGAGAGACAAATGGCAAAGAACCTGGAGGCTTCTCCCCAAACCTCATGTCAGGTGAGGCCTGCGTCCTCCCCACTGTGTCTGTTTCGTAAGTCTCTTCTTTCCCTCTCTTGTTGTTCTGGCCTTCATCTATCTTAGCTAGCATTTAAACTAGTCCCAGTAGGCTCAGCTTATCAGGTTTTATCACACGAATATGCTTTCTTTCGTATCTCTAAACATCCTAAGTATTGTTGAGGACATCTTTTTTTTCCTTTAACTCTAGAAACTTCAGTTGGGTCAGCTCTGCTGGGAAGCCTGTCGGTACAGTGAAAAGGACACAGGCCTGACATAGCTGAACTTGACTCTGCCTCTCTCTGTTACTCAAGGTTACTGCTGTGACCTTGAACGAGTTACTTGAATACTTTGCATCTCAGCTTCTCCTTATTAGTTTGTACTCCTAAATTAGAAGTGATAGAAGCCCAACTCGAATTGATTTGATGGAAAGTCAGAGCCTCTTGGAAGTACTCATGGAAGGTTTGACTACACAAGCTTCAGAAATACAGAACTCGTTTATTACTGGGCCTGGGAATGCAAACATCAGAGTTTTCTTTGCTGTCTCTTATCCCTACTTCTCTCCACATGTCAGTTTTATCCTCTATGTCTTTTCTGTCTTCTGTCTTCAGTCACCAGGAAAAGAATTAAAAACCTGGGGAAGAGACTTATGGGTCATTTGTGAATAAGGTGGCTGCTCCTGAACTAATAAACAATAGCCAGGTGGGCAGAGTCAGGTAAGAACAACAAAAACCTCGTGGCACGTGAAGCAGGGTGAGTTCCTAGATGTATGTGGTGTTAGGTGGGTGACCCCGTAAGTGTCCACTACAAGTTCATTCCTAATAGCATTTTGGTAAGAATTTTTGAGATAATGTATGTGACGTTCATTGATTCTTCTAACCGGCATCTTTTCAGTGCCTACCACATGATAAGCATTGTTCTAGGCAATGGAGAATCAACAGAGAACAAAATAGGCAAGCAGCCTTGTTTTAATGGAGGCTATAGTTCAGAAAAAACACTTGACCCACAGTAGCAACTCGATGAAGACTGGCCATTCAGGTGGTCCCCTAGCGTGTGAGTGTGGGGAGTGAAGACAGTGGTTTAGAGTGGAACCTGGCTTTACACACATGCCCCACACTCAAGGAGTACCAGTTCTGAGGATAACTCTCTGAGTTCATACATCCCCTGAGACCAGTCTCGATGGGCCTGATCTCTGCCAGCTGACCTCCTGTGTGGAAGATGGAAGATTAGATAACCAGCCCCACCGCAGTCATTGCTGGCCGGATCTCTCAGGCTCACCCAGGAAGAACTGGGAAGCCCCAGATGCAGCTGTTGGCCAGAACTCGGTCCCTGGGGCAATCCCCAGCTGTGACCAATGCCACATGGCTGAACTGCATGGATGACCCTAACGCAAGCATCCCCTGCCGGGCTCCCCCAGTGCTCCCGCTCCTGCTGCCATCCCTCCCTTTGCCCTCCACATGTTCTCACGTTGCCCCAGCCAACTTACAACGCCAAGTGTCTATGAAGTGCTGGACTTATCTATAATGTGCAGAAGACTAAGATGACTAAGATTTTGGAGTTGCACACAGCAGCAGCAATCCCGATCAGAACATCACGGGCCAGGCATAGGTTTTCTTGACTCGGTAGATACAGATCTTAAATGTAGAGGCCCTGACACCGTCCCTGCTCGGGCCTTTGGTCTCAGGTCTTGTGTGTTGTGTGTGGGTTGAGGCGAGAAGACAGAAACAATCCATCACTGTTTTCACTTGAATTCCCCAAAGCAGCTGCTCTTCTACCAGCGGTAGGCTGGATGTGTGGGGAAAACGCTAACACTGCTCTGGATCTATCGGAGTTGTAATCAAGGCAGCCACTTCAGTTTCTGAGTGTCAGATTCCACAGGAGGCAGTTAAGGAGGGAGGACCAGACCCCATGGTTTTACAACATGCCCCACAGAACCTTAAGGCTTCCTCAGAGACGCTCTGGAGCCACCATCCAAGGCGCAGGTATAGGGTCCTGAGTCTATAGCTCCACCTCTAGCCCCACCACATCATAGAGACTCTGCTTTGAACTGCTCTACATTCTGTGGGTCCAAGTAAGATTTAGTTTGGGAAAAAAAACTGCCCTGAGAAATGAATATATACATATTTTTCATTCTATTTATATATATATATTCATTCTCCTGATTTTACATACACATGTATACATACATACATATATATTTTACGTATATACTTTTGTATACACACACACATATATATTTACACTAGATGATTGTTACAATCTATTTCAGAAACGACACCTATGATTTCTTTTGTGACCACAGTCCACTATTGCGCCAGACAGGGAAGTCATTCAGAAGATGGTTTGTACAAATTCCAAGTTTTAATGGCTGTTAAATAATAAAAGGAAGGATATCTGCACTATGTACATTTTGTCCACTTCTGGTACTGTCAGCTGGCCATGCACATTTTATTGCACATATAAACAGTGTACAAGGATCTGGAAGATGTCTTAGCCATACAAGTACTGCATTTAGAAGAACAAAGAAGCCATTTTACAAAATATTGAAGCCATTTGTATTATACAGCCAACTTCAAGAAAATACTGAAAATTAATATCAAAAGAAATATTTTAATTTTGAAAAAAAAAATCTCTCAAAACAAGGATTACAGAGCTTCATGTTGCCATATATACATGTAAAAAAATATTTCAGGACCCTGCATTCTGAGTGCCCATCAAGGGGCAGCAATCTAAATTCCTATTTCCATAATCAACCTCTGCATGTTGCTTACATTGAATACGCTCTTTGTTCAAAATGTCTTTCTTCTTTACATCATTATGCTACTTGACAAAACAGGTATTTGTGCAGTACAGGAAAATATTAAAATATATTTTAAGTTAGGTTAAAGTGCACAGTACATTTGATAGAAAATAACTGCTAGCTGCCAATCCAAATGACCATTTTCGGCAACCCCTCCATCCTGCCCAGAGTGGGGGGCAGCCTTGGCATTGGCTGGTGTTAGTCTGTGTTTAATGTATACCGTCCTCCTGGTGTTTTTCCTTTTGTGTTCACCTTTATGTTTGTCTTACAAATTGTGGCTGCTGCTGTTCTGAAAACTTATAATGGCTTTTCACAGAGGTGAAGATGCAGTCAGCATCCACGCGACTTTGAAAGATGAGTGACCGGGATATCTGTGAGAGCAGGGCAGATGGGCACACATGCACCCGCCGAAAACAGGGTGTCGTGTCTGTGAAGCCTTATGTGAATCTCTCAGACCATCTCGGGTCCCTTTCCTTCGCTGGCTCTTCTCTAGTCATTATTTTGTTTGAACTTGCTCCCTCCTAAGCCGCTCAGCCTCACAAACAACACTTACTTAACCTTCTCCTGAGCCCACCTTGGTGTTGCATGCAGCTGCCCCACCAATTTACGGACTCACTTCTGCGGTTTCACACCAGAGACCATGAATCTTGCGGTGTTTTATGGACCACATGGAAAGCCACCAACTAAATTACAATAAAATGAGCACATCTGCAGCTCAGCATCGTTTCCTCTTTAAAACATGGCAGTTGCAGAAAGGGCTGGTTTCCTGATCCAGGTCCTATGTGCCTTAAGTAATTCTTGATCACTCTCAGTCAGAGCTGCCCTTAAAAAACTTTTTGGTTAAACAACAAACTTTATATCATCTCCACTTTCCTATACCATTTCCTTATTATCTACCTTTGGTGCTAGACTTTCTTTAATTACCCAAGTCACAGTGCAAAATTATACTTCAAGACACATGATGCTAACACTTATTACTCTTCGTGTTAAAATGTGAATGTTTTGTGCATAGCAAAATAAGTATGAATCCAAAAAAATAATAGTTCACATTTTATCTTCAAGTTTAATATGTCTTTTTTTTTCCATCACAACTATTTACAAATAACTTTGGGGTGCTCACTTGAATTCAGTCAGTTCATTATATCAGAGGACAACAGGGCTGATGGAATGTAGGAAACTGGATGGAATGCAGAAATATAAATAAGACCAATGTCCCATAAACCAAAGTGTAAATAACACCTCCCCAGAAAACAGTTCTTGTCACAGAAGCACCTGTTTTTTGCTTAAATTTTTTTTTCTGAGTCATATACACCAGAAAATGTGATTACTGAGACCTAGAACTACTTGCACACCAAAGAGGATAGAAAATAACTCAATATTTATAATATTAAAATAAAGTGTTTAACCACAAAAAAGCAGTAATAAAATAGTTTCCTAATTTACAATTTGCATCCAAAGGATGAATAACAACTCACTAATAAATAATATTTATATAAATATTTTGTATGTCGAAAATAGTTTTTTAAAAGGCAATGGTCTCAAGAAACTTCTTGAAAAATTTGGTGGTGAAAAACCTGATTGAGTCCCCCTCCCCCCACTAAATACACAATGAGTTTGGTTTTAATAAAACAAATGCATCTTGCTGCAAAACAGTTGTGCTTGGTGTTTGGTAATGGCAGTGGGTGAGCGTGGAAGGGATGAGGGAGGTTGTACAAGGCATTGATGTGCTGTTCAGTTCTTCATAACCAGCTCCCTCACTGGTTTTAAGATCAATACCTGTCACTTAACGTCAGAAGTCAGTTTTGAAAGGTAGAAAATCTCTTATGTCCTCTCTTCAGTTCAACTAGAGTCGGGGAACTGACAGGCAGTGAGTGGGAGGCTGGAGGGGACAGGTGCGGAGAGCAGAGTTCAGGATCTCTGACGGGAGAAGAGTTCGAGCTGACCCAAAGGAGAGGAGCTGGTTTCATGTGAACAGAGCCTTTGTTACAGTTATGTCTAGCAACGCTTGAACAGTAATGCCCACTTTGACCAGGCCCTTCTCTTCAAGGATGTGATGGGGTAGACACAGCTTGTCCTAAAAAGAAGAAGAACGAAACATTGATTTTTAGATGACCGGAATCTAATCATAAAATCTTGTGACATTACTGACGGGAGTTAAGCTGAGCTCTGATCACCTCAGACTGTGCTCCCTCCCTTAGTTTCAACCCATTGCAAAGACCTTGCCTGTGTCTGCAGAGAAAATAATGATTTTCCACAAGTGAAGGTTGTTCCAGAAAGGCTCCCAATCATCCTGAAATCTTCAAAAGATCTAAACATTTTAAAAAGCTTTATACTAAATAACTGAGCTACATAGAGTCAGTTGGAAACCACACACCAAGAACCTACTAGCCTATGTTATTATAAAGCAAAATTGCAAATAGCCTCTCACACATTTTAAATGAACTCAAATACTCATTTTTACAGACCACACACCATTCTAGTGACCATAAACCTTGATTTAATTCATTTTATTTCCTGTGATCTCCGGAACAGAGGCATGCTGTGGACTGGTATCCTTTCGTCACAGTTTATGAACAGCCTTATAAATAAGTAATTTTAACCACAGCCTTCAACAGCCTCTCTTTTAAGACTCTTTCATAAAGCTGTCAGACACAAATGTCCTGCTACTTTCTCATGTTGTACTTTTGCTCTTGGGAAATGTCTAGCACATACTAGCCAAGGAAAATAATCAATGTGAGTCCCTCCCTGACTGCAGCATTTTACATGCTCAACCCAACTGTCTACAAAAGAACATGATGAAATAATTTTACGCCTTTGTCATTTGACCCTGGTCTGATACAAGGGAATCTCCTTCCAGAGTGTGTCTCCTTGGCTGGGAAAAGACTCCATGGCAAGCACTCCCTCTCGTCTACCAATGAGGGTGTGTTCTCCACAGCCCGACGATCGCTGTTTTTAAGGAGAGTTTAAGTGGGATCTGCATCAAGCCCCAGGTGATGCACACAGGGTTTAACATGAAGCCCCTCAGGGTCTCTGGACAGAACTGCTTCCCTTCATGTGACTCTTGCTTGAGGAACCAGATCTTCCTGCTCCCTCAGGGAAGGACTCTCCATAAAGTACCACAGATACAGGCATTCTCCTCTTCAAAAGATCTTCTAAGGACACACCATGACATTTCCTGTAACCTCAAAATGTCAGTTGGTTCTACATTCTCACCATCTCACTATTCCCCATCCCTCCCACTTCCCTAACTTGTGGTAAATTCAGAATGTCTCCCACTCTGACTCCAAGCCTTAAGAAATGGCCACAATATAAGATATAATAGAAGATACATATTATAAGATAGCTGATTCTTTAAAGAGCAGTTTTAACCATTATTTCAAGTGGCTGCTGTGTATCAAAATAGATTATCTTGTCATCAATGGCATTTTAGGTTGGGCATGAAGTTTATGCTGCTTGACATCTGAGTAGCCAAATGTCAACCTGAAAAAGGATGAGAGGTTCTGTCTGAGTTGTGAGCCATGAGCCATGCACTAGGCCAGGATGGACGGTGCTTCCTCCTTGTGCCACAGCCAGATGTCAGTGCTTATCTTTTCCTGACGCCATCTGCCACGGGCTTATGAAATCACCTGAATCGCGTTTCATTGCTAAGGCTGGTTCCATGGGGGCAGGGATGTGTTTTCCTCATTCCTATGGCTCCCACAGCACCCAAGTCCACATCCAGCTTGGTAGGAAATTATAAACAACTACTAATTATGGTTAAGCTCCTGGTGCAAGGCATTATATGGGGAAAAAATAAATCTTCACTTTACACCATATGCCAAAATCAACTTGAAATGAATTTGAGTTAAATGTTAAAAAAACCCAAAACACCCTTCCCAATAAAATATGGATGAATATTTAATATTTTCTCTGATAAATGGATGAGAAAGGATTTTCTAAGCTAGAAAAACGATATAAAAAAATCACAAAGGAAAAGATAAAAACAATTGATTCCCTAAAAGTTTCAAGTTTCCACATGTCAAAAAACCCCAAATTAATTAAAAGATAAACAACAAACTGTAAAAAAGTATTTGCATCAAATTACAAACTGTTTTACATGACACATAAGCTCAACAAATCAGTGAGAGAAACACTAAGAGACCAATAGAACACTGGGCAGGGATTATGAATAGAAATTTAAAAAAGAGGGATTTGCCCAAGGCATTTTGAACAAAACATTTTGCTTCTCCATCTCAGTGTTTACTTATGTTGAGTCTCGAATGCTCCTGAAGTCTAGTACTAACATTTGCACAGAGCCTAATCTCTGTGAACAACACGGCTTTTATGGGGCTAGGTGTCCTATCCCGAGTCCTGCTTGAGATGTGACATGTCTCCATTACTGACTGCCCCAGTCCCATTGATGAGTGGTGGCTCCAGTGGTCTGCAGTTGAGGTTCCAAGCTAGAGGTCATGGTTGGGAAGGGCTGGGGCTCCAGCTAGACAGGGATGGGAAGGTATTGAGGCCTCAGCCTCCTGCTAACGGGATGTTTGGAGACGTCACACACTCAATTAGCTTCAGGTTATCCTTTCTCCCAGGCATTTCTCACCTTCCTGGTCTCCTCACTCCCAACCCAGGTGCAGAGTCCAAGATTCTCCTTTCCACTCTTATAGCTGGTGATGAGGAGTAAATACAAGACATAAAAAGTACCCCTTGCCTCCTTCCTGCCTTTATCTTTTCATTCAGACCTTCTGAGAAGCCCAAAGGTGCCCCCAGATTACACTGATGGGGCTGGAGGTATCAAAGAAGACTAGCATAAGACAATAAAAACCTTATAAAAACATGGCGCTTCTGGTTATCCCATCACGGGACTGGGATGAAGACTCTGAGGGGAATTACGACTTGAGACGTTGGTTGACAGGGTGAGCAAGGGGAGCCTGCCAGAAATGAGAAACGGGTATCGACGTTGGCCAGAAGGCCATTTTCCATCACACTAGTCCTGTCACTGCATATCCCACGGGGGAGGGAAGCCCTGAACTGAGTTAGAAGTTGTGATGGGGAAGGAATTGCTGTAGGTTTATAGCTGGATGAGAAATGACAGAGAAGGGCCACCTCATTTTGCATATGATGGACTTAATGCAGAGATTGCTGTACATTTACAGTGACTTCAAATGCATTTAAATTTCATTGTTAGAGGATATTATTGGCTGTCATTGAGAATGTGGCAGTAGACTATTCTAGTACACCCATGAGCTCCTTTTGTTGTGTTTCTTTTTAAAGCACAGAGCAGGGTCTCTCTACAAAGTAATATCTTGCATAAAAATAATGCTTCTGATCCCTCTGGAGAACTCGTGCTTTATGTTGCTTCTCTGATGGTGGAATCAATTATTCCCTGATATCCCCTCACCCACCCCTCTTCTGAGCCACAACAAACAAGGCTGGAAAAGGCAGGCAAGCCAGAAAGACTGAATTTGAACTTTGAAAGACTTCTGAGGGCCCTCCCGTATGTCTGGCACCATTGCCACAGATTTGTGTTGCTTATTTCGTTACGATAACCCTGCAAAGTAGATATAATATCTCTATTTTACAGATGAGAAAACTGAGATGTAGAGAGTTTAAAGTCACACAGCTGGTAAGTACTGGAACCAGGATTTGAACATGTGTCTCGTCTTAGAGCTGGGGCTCCTTCCACGACATCATGCTGCTTCCCATAAATTCCCTGATCAACAAGCGAGTACGTTCCATCTGTGCCCAGGCGAGTCCTATCCACGTTAAGTCCTACCAAATTTAACATCAGGTGGAAATCAGAGAACCCTCAACTTGGTGCAGCTCTGCCACTCAGCTCGTTTGGCTTCTTTTCGTAGAGAGGGACAGACATCTTGTCCTGGCAGGAAGCGCCTCGTGGCAGCAGGCAGATCACCATCACTGCCTGGCTCTCCTCTTTCTATAGTTTCTTATGCTCCTAAACAGTCACACGCCTACTTCCAGGCCAGCTGCTAGACAAAACGAAGTCATTCACGTTAGCACATTTCATTTTGTTCAGTCTGTTCCTAAAATGTAAAGTCCCGGCACTAAATTGATTAATAAAACTGTCTGCGTTATTTTAACGTAAGAGAGCTTCAAGTTCTTGCTCTGCCACCCGAGCACTCTGGGGGCAGTTTCTACCAATGCAAAATAGAGACCATGTCAAACTCCTCCAGACTGAGAGGATTTCTTGTCACTCTATTTGATTCTCACTTTCCAGCCATGCTACCTTCTAGTCTTTTTCTCTAGAATACTTCATTCTCCACACACATCTACCCCTTCTCTCACCTCCCTAACCTGTACCCACTTCGTCTGGCCATTCCTACACATCTTTCAGGTGTAAGTATAAACATCATAGTTCCAAGAAGGCTTCACAGACCATCTATTCCCCACGGAAGGTCAGGCCCCCAGTCCACGTATTTTACAGAATCTTGGATCTGATCAACCACAGGTCCTTATCACACTGAATTCCTCTTTATTTGTCCACTAGATCCACTAGATCAGGGGTCCAAAAACTACTGCCTGCAGGCCAATCCAGCCCATAGCCTGTTTTTGTGAATAAAGTGTTACTGGAACACAGCCACGCCCATTCATTTACGAACGGCCTATGGCTGCCTTCGCGCTACAACAGCAGAGCGGAGCAGTCGCAACAGAGACCGGACGGCCCAAATCCTAAAATATTTACAATCTGGCACTTTACAGGAAAAGTTTGCCAACACTTGGTATAGAATGTAAGTTTCTGAAGACAGGGTCATGTGTCATGGTCACCTTTATATCTCCAAGGCCTACTACGGGGCCTTGCACAACGAGCGCTCATTCAGTATTTGAGGAATGAATGAATGAACATAAGTATAAACAAAAACACACTGAAAAGCCAAGGAGTAGACCTTGATAGGATTAAAGAAGGAAAAAAGGGCACATTCTATATACCTAACTGATTAACTAACTGCAAAATCTGAAGCCTAATTTTGACAACCTAATCTCCTGAAATAAAATCATATTAAAAAATTTTTCAGCTAATCCAAACCACTTCCAGTGTCTTGAAATTTTAATCCATCATCCATTACTTTTACC